TTTCCCAATTGGTTTTAAGATTTCAGTGTTATATTCTCCTAAAAATGATTGAAAAGGATTGCATTTTAAAAATAAGTGAAAAAAAAATGGTTATGTGTTTTAGAATTTTACAGAGGTTGCAGTCTGTGTAAAAGTGCGAAAGTCTTAAGCAAGACTTGATTATTTTGAAGGAGATTTTTTTTTTTTACTTCTATATTTATAAATGACATTCTTAAAAAATATGAATCTTAGTGCAAAAAAAAGTCAAATTTTCATATATAGATGTAAAAACACAGTCATATAACTTTTAAAGCAATATGAGCTGCAACTTTAATGTCAGAAATTTTTGTTGCAAAATTGTAATTAACTATTTCAATGACAGAAACAAGAACGTTTATAAACTTCTGTTGTTCATATTTGCGATGGATGAAGTATTTATAAGCTTTGATTGAAGCAAAATTACATTATTGTCGTCCTGTACAATATTGATTTCTTATATAATACTATATATTTGATTGTACAGAATCCTATATTCTGAAACAATTTGATACTTTATTTCTGCTAATTGATAAAAAAATGTTTAAATTGCATACAAATTTATCATAATTACACATTATAACAGCAAAATAAAATTCTCAAAAATGCAGCTCATATTGCTTTAAATAAATAAATGCGATTACATATGACATTTTATTAACATAATTAAAGATATTTGTATGTTCAATAATATATTTTCCCAATTTGAATTTTTCTCAGAAATTTATCCAAATATTTGAAATTAAACATTTACATGTATGAACATTGTCTTTCAGGAATCTACGGCTACGTGTAGGTGTATTCATCATCAGTGTAAAGCATGGGACTTTAATTTTTTTTTTTTAATAATTTTTCAACAAAAATTTATAATTTATATTAATGTATCATTTAAGTCAACTTGATAATATATAATTGCTTCATTACACTCGTTTTCTTTTATTTTATATATCACTAATTGAATGATGAGAGATTTTTCTAAAAGAAATAATACGATAACTCTCCTACCATCCCCCCTATAAATATGTTGTATGCGAGTTTGTGAAATAATGTTTCAAATTTGAAAAATTTCCATCAAAAATTAACCCGAGTATAACTCTTCCTTAATTAGTTTTCTACATTTAGATTCTAGATTTTAGAATTTGTCTGTATCACCAAGTACCTATATAGGGAACTTGTCTGTATCACCAAGTACCTATATAGAGAACTTGTCTGTATCATCAAGTACATATATAGAGAACTTGTCTCTATCACCAAGTCCCATGTATAGAAAACTTGTCTGTATCACCAAGTACCTATATAAAGAACTTGTCTGTATCACCAAGTACCTATATAGAGAACTTGTCTGTATCACCAAGTACCTATATAGAGAACTTGTCTGTATCATCAAGTACATATATAGAGAACTTGTCTGTATCACCAAGTACCTATATAGAAAACGTGTCTGTATCACCAAGTACCTATATAGAGAACTTGTCTGTATCATCAAGTACATATATAGAGAACTTGTCTGTATCACCAAGTACCTATATAGAAAACCTGTCTGTATCACCAAGTACATATATAGAGAACTTGTCTGTATCACCAATACCTATATAGGGAACTTGTCTGTATCACCAATACCTATATCGAGAACTTGTCTGTATCACCAATACCTATATAGAGAACTTGTCTGTATCACCGATACCTATATAGAGAACTTGCCTGTGTCACCAATACCTATATAGGGAACTTGTTTGTATCACCAATACCTATATAGGGAACTTGTCTGTATCACCAAGTGCCTATATAGAGAACTTGTCTGTATCACCAATACTTATATAGGGAACTTGTCTGTGTCACCAATACTTATATAGAGAACTTGTCTGTATCACCAAGTACCTATATAGGGAACTTGTCTGTATCACCAATACCTATATAGAGAACTTGTTTGTATCCCCAATACCTATATAGGGAATTTGTCTGTATCACCAATACCTATATAGGGAACTTGTCTGTATCACCAAGTGCCTATATAGGGAACTTGTTTGTATCACCAATACCTATATAGGGAACTTGTCTGTATCACCAATACCTATATAGGGAACTTGTCTGTATCACCAATACCTATATAGAACTTGTCTGTATCACCAAGTGCCTATATAGAGAACTTGTCTGTATCACCAATACCTATATAGAGAACTGTCTGTATCACCAATACCTATATAGGGAACTTGTCTGTATCACCAAGTACCTATATAGAGAACTTGTCTGTATCACCAAGTACCTATATAGAGAACTTGTCTGTATCACCAATACCTTTATAGAGAACTTGTCTGTAACACCAATACCTATATAGAGAACTTGTCTGTATCACCAATACCTATATAGAACTTGTCTGTATCACCAATACCTATATAGAGAATGTGTCTGTATCACCAATACGTATATAGGGAACTTGTCTGTATCACCAATACTTATATAGGGAACTTGTCTGTATCACCAATACCTATATAGAGAACTTGTCTGTATCACCAATACCTATATAGGGAACTTGTCTGTATCACCAATACTTATATAGGGAACTTGTCTGTATCACCAATACCTATATAGAGAACTTGTTTGTATCACCAATATCTATATAGGGAACTTGTCTGTATCACCAATACCTATATAGTGTCTGCATCACCAAGTTCCTTTATAGAGAACTTGTCTGTATCACCTAAACCTATCTCATAGCAGTTCATTGTGACATATGCTATTGCTTGCAATAGCAAAATTTCTTTCCGTTTTACGTTCCGTTCCTCGTTTTAGCGACACCACATCAGACAATTTATGATGCGTCTTTCTAAATTTGATAGCAACTAGAAAGCATGACTTTGGACTGAGGTGTGACCTCTCAGCAGCGATTGGAAAAATCAGCCATTCAATGAATTAGTGTTCTGTCATGTTCTTGTCTTCAGTCCATTTGAATATGCTTTCCCCTCTCACAAAATATCGAAGTGTACGCATTCCCTACATTCCAAATGGTCGTTCATCTTCAGTGGTTATACCAGCACTATCAGCCCCATACGACATATAGATCAGTAACATTATTATACAGTGTAGGATGAATGAGGTTTAGGGACTTTGCAAAGCAAATATTGGCATAAAGCGTATTCCTTTTATAAATTGTAAGTCACAGTGTAAAAATTTGTTCTTCAAAGCGTCTTAAATTGTACGTCACATAGAAACGTAAAGGACCTTTAGGTTAAAATTAAAAGTTAAACATAAAGGTCAAACACCTCTACAATAGAGAGTGGGGATTATAATGAGGGGTTACTTTAACATCATAGAATCAAATAGATGTTAACGTACAGTTCAAATATTTGATTGCTGTGAGATTTCATATCAGTAGCGTGTACGATCGTGAGTCTGAATTGTGTGTGTGAGGGTGTGTGTGTGTGTGTATCTCTTTCAGATGAGACCCTATAAACCGAGGTACCGTGTCACGGTAGGCGTTTACACGATAAAGACCCCCCCCCCCCCCCCCGCTTCGGCCGTTAGCGCCATGCATGAGACAAAATTAGTGGCACATTTCACCTATAGTAGGTGACGTCTCTATTATAATTCAATTCAATTGTTTATTTACCAGTTAAGTACCCTCATGGGGCAAAAAGAAAGTACATAGTAAACACTTATATATGTATACAGTCATAAGTGAATAATTCATAATGGGACGTAAAACAAAATACAGTCATTAACCAATCCATTTGATGAAGGAAGAAATCCTGCTTAATTTTGAATGTTTGTTATAAAATTGAGTCAGGGTCATAGCATGTTTTACCATCCTAACTCACGTGTGACCTCCTTCACCTTTGAACTCAAAATGTTGGCTTTTTAAAAAGACTTTTCTGATCTGAAACATTTATTTCTTATAGCGTAAACTTAAGATATTTGTTGCCTACTTTTTGGTTAAATCATCCTAATTAAATGTGTAATTATGACCCAAATGTGACTTGACCTTGGACTTGTTGTCAAATTTTAGTTCAATTTAACAGGACTTACCTTTGATCTTTACTTTTAAATTAAAGGGGTCAGGAAAAGAATTATACATGTATACGGTAAAAACATACGTGCATTTTTGCCCCCATAAAAGCCAGATTCTGAAAATCCCTAGAATTAAATGTATTCAATTGTATATATTGTATGAAATTTCTTATTTAACAAAAATTATTTTAGTTTGGAAGTAGATTTTCAGCAATTCTCGTTTCTGTGAGTCACAAACATTTTGGATTTTCTGTTACTGTTTAAGAAAGAGGACAAAATGGACAAAATTCGTTCAATTTTCAGTGTAGAATTTACTAAGCAAAAGCTAAAGCTTTCCCCAGAAAAAAAATATTCACATATTTTGTTGATATTATAATGTATGTAAAATACACCTTTTTCTCTCAAAATCATCAAATTTTTAATTTACGTCATCTTCCTGACATATCTAACGTATGGCCTCATGGCTGATGAAAATAGGTAATGCCTTCAAACCTGCAGATATCACCCTGATTTAGAACATATAAGTATAGACATCTCCATTAAAGTCGGTTTTTGGTGGCAGATATTGGTCATTGCAGAATGTAATCCTTTTCTCTTAAGATTTATTTCCTACATTTAGGCATGTCATAGAAATGTGCCTTCACATTTTCATCCACTTCTGAATCAGTTTGAAGGAGTGGCATGTGTTTTTATATTAGAAAAAAAAATCAAGTTCTAATTAAATTTCTAGACCTTTTTAAAATATTTTAATTTCACCACTCTTACGGCAGGACTTTGATTTTTAAAATCAATTAACAATATCAATGGATTGATTTTGGGGAAAAAAGAAAACTTTTGCTCTTGAACATGTTTCTTACATGGGTCCATAACCTTGTCAGGTCGATCACAGTTTCCCCTCACCGACTAGCAGTGTTATCAGTGACGAGGAGTCCGAGTATTACACCTGTATAATCACCTGAACAGTCTGATCAACCAATGACCCGTGACACTCCCTCATCAGGTATAAAGGTGAGATTATTCCTGGCTCACAGAGAGACAAGCTGCTTCCTACACCAGTTCTAGCCTCCGTCCGCCGTTTTATCCTTCCACTCGTCACCATGAGGTCTCTGTTCTGTATGGGGGTCACGGCGATCCTCTGTCTCCTGCGTATAGAAGGGGGCGTTGTTTTTGGAGGTAGGTGAATATATAACTTCGGCTATATAAAGTTAATAAACTGCAAGACAGATCTTGATCAGTATGTGGTCCATGTAAATTTTTAAGAATTTTTTTCGTAATTCTATTTGAAGTCCTTTACCAATTTTGTGCCACCGATTTTACACACAGATCTTGAAGTGCCAGATCTGTATTTTCTAGTATTTCATTTACTTACTTGTAATTACTAGTATTACCTTGACTTAATTACTAGTTTTACCTTGACTTATTTACTAGTTTTACCTTGACTTATTTATTACTTTTACCTTTATTTCAATGCAATAAGTACACGTAGTTGAAGAATGAAAATTATCCATTGTTTAATGATTTTACGTTGTCCACATGAAAATACGTGGTTTCTACTTATTCAAAATTGGTGCATCTATAATAATTCATAACAATAATAATTAAATAAGACTCTGATCTACTGTCAGTACGAATGAAAATTTGTCTCGTTAAACGAAATAGAAAGCCTTGGATTAATTTTGTCAAATTCTCCTTAAATACACGCAAGACTAGCTGATCTATATCGATCTACATAATAATAGATGCCTTCTCAACAATTATAGGTATAGTTCAAAGAAACCCTTCCCTTGAAGCGAATGAAACAAGTACAAGTTCTGCGAACACAGCCATAACAACGAGTAACGCCACAGGAATTATGACGACCGTCTCAAATATGACAACAAGCAACATGACAACTGTCCCTGTGACAACTAGTAACATGACAACAGCTTCCATGACAACAAATAACGTGACCAACAACATGACAACTGCGCCCATGACAACGAATAACGTGACCAACAATATGACAACAGCCTCCATGTCAACTACATCCGGGAACTCGAGTATGCCAATGACGTCAGAAGGACCTTTGTCGTCACCTACGAAACCCCAGACTTCTACCACAAAAACAACCACTACGACAACTGCTCCTAAGACTTCTAAATTTAGCGGAGCCTCGTTTGGAGGAGGAATAGCTCTCGGTGTTGTTCTTGCCGCTATTCTTTCTTTTGGAATATATAAATATAAAAGTCGGAATGCGGGATATTCCCGGTACTGAATAATGTGAAATCTCAATTACCTCAAGTCCAAAAAATACCTGAATTGTGTTTTTTTAGGAGACAACTAAAAAAAAAAACTGCAAAAATTTTGTTCTTCAAAGAAGTAAATACTAGTAGTTGTATTGCAACAGAGATAATGATAAGTAGACTATCAGTTTGAGAAACATGTTGAAATACTTAAATGCATTTCTACATTGTACATGAATGTAGGCTTACATTTGAAAAAAAAAATCTTTTGTATATGCGATTTTATGTACGATAAACTGTCTGTGTGTACATGTAAAACAGGCGAATGTAAGTAGTATGTGTTGGTTGTGTTTGGTTGTGTTTTTACATAAAACATATTTAGTGTAATTTTTTTTACAGAAATGTCTGAATGACGGAGCGAGCAAAGGATCAATTTGTTTATGTGTGTATTATATCGTTTATTACGTGTTTTGTACTGAATTAAAAAAGAAAAGTAAAATACATGAGTTTTAAAGTACAGTCTTTCTTGTCATTTTAATATGAACATGTTCCAGAAGAGAATTGAGGAGAAATCTGGAAATTCCTGATCTGCAGCTGTAATATTACATTGTACTTTAAGGTCAGGCGAAACATTCCTTAGCATTATAGAATTTCCCCATGTACAGTGTACTTTAAGAAGTTTCCTAAGAGAAAATTGAGGCAAATCACCAGGCATTTTTACAGTTTTCCAAAGGATGGAATTTTCTATATGACCGTGGAAATCACTAAAATTCCTGATATCACAATTTAGACGAATGATATTTTGAGAAATTTTGAAAGCGGTTTACAAGTCCCCCATGAAAGAATAAGGTCCTACATGTATAGTATATTTTCAGGCATTTGTGTAAGATTCCAGAGGATAGTATTCGCTTTACATAATCTTATATTGTAAATCACTTGAAATGGGATTGCTGATATTATAACTTTTTACGTATATATATATATATATATATATATATATATATATATATATATATATATATATATATATATATATATATATATATGTTAGAAATTTTGAAACCAGTTTAGAAATCACAAGATACAAATGTAATAATATGTATGTTTGCAAGTTTTGGTCAGTTATAGAGAAATAAAGATAAATTCAAGGAAAGTGTCGTCAGACCTTTAAGGTCAAGATCTAGTAAATGAAGAGTGCCTACAGATTTCTCAAATTTGAGAAACAAATTTCTTTAATAATATATTACAATTGTAGCTAAATAAATTGAGGTGTATCGGGGCATAATATTTAGATAAACGGAACGAAAAAACACATTTTAAACTGCCCTTTTCAATGAAAAATGAAGAAAATCAGGTATAAAAATGGGAGTTTTCTCCATCTCAGACAAACAAAATGCATCAATATTGCCTACAGTCTCTCAGTAAACGGCTTTTCATATCTTCTTGACCTCTTCTTTAAAATGATATTAAATTGAATATAGGTATCGGGGTTCCTTTTGAAATGATTTCAAATTGAATTCCATGAAAATGTGTCATTTTCTACTTAATTCTGTTATAGCCATAAAATACGGGAAAAAATAAAATTAAATCAATTATGACGTCATAATGGATCTAGCACCAAAAGACAGACTAAACTCATTTACTAGATCTTGACCTTAAAGGACAAAAATCCCAGAACAAAATTTCTGTGATTGTAAAAGGATTGGTTGTTGTCTTCTCTTCTCGTCACGTGGTTGCATGTCATTATTAATGAAGATAAACTCTGGCGTATAAACCACAGGTTTGGCTGATAAATCAGTCATTTGTACAAATATTTGTTGTATTTCACAATGTACAGGCGTATGGGATAAGATAAAATAAATGCATGTGATACAATGTATCTAGCTGTTGATTATGTCTCGCTTGTAATTACGAACGGACAGTTCATACACATGACATAACCTGATTACTGTTTTGTCATCTCTACAGGTGTATAAATTTTATAACTTTTAAAAGTAACAAAACTCCCCCTCCCATCCCCATAGATATTATTTTATAAAAAGTCATTCATCGTATAAATCTTATTTAAAAAAGAATATATGCACAATCTTGGCAATGAAGGACAAGTAAAATTGTGTCTACATAAAATGACATTTCGGGAAAGTAGTATTGAGGAGGGGGGGGTGGCCCCAATTTTTTTTTTTCAAAGAGAGCCCCCTCTGCCTTTTTGCGTTTGGGTAGTCTTCTCTCTCTCTCTCTCTCTCTCTCTCTCTCTCTCTCTCTCTCTCTCTCTCTTTTGTTTTGAAGGGGGGTTAGTTAATATGAATATATGTAACCTCATTGACAATGAAGGACAATGAAATCTGTGTCTACATAAAATGACATTTAGGGAGTGGGGGATGGCCCCCTTTTTTCTAAGAGAGCCCCCCTTTTTTTCGTTTGGGCAGTCTTCTTTCTTTTCTTTTTTTTTGATGGGGGTAAGTTTTTTCAGGCTTTTATTTTGGTTTCTTAATTATTTTATGCACTCGAGTCGATTCTTAAAAACGGCACTACCTCCCTGCATTCATCCTCCTAAAACATATATTTATTCATAAAGTTTAGAAATTTTCTTTCTGATCAGACACGGCATGTTTACTTTGTAATAAATTGCGGGTATTTTCAATACGTAACCGATTTTAAAGAGCTATTGTTATATTTTCTTTGAAGAAAAAAGTATTCGATTAATTAAGGTAGAACCTATGTCGGAAAAGTCTTTGTCACAGGATTTTCAAACTTTTCAAAATGAGTAATTAGCACTTGCTTATTCATCAGTTAAAAATACATGGCATGTTTCCTTGTTATTAAATGTAGTGCAACAGGCACAATTTAGAATGATTTTTATACACGGCAACTATTATTTTCAGCCGTTTTTAAGGGTACATGGTCATAAGAATATATATATATATATAGAAAATCACAAAAATACTTCTTCAAATACCTTTGTTTATAGATTTCATTAACTGAAGAATAGATAGAAATATTATTCAAAAATAAATTCGTTTTTCTTCAATTGACATGGAAGATTAAATCCACATTTCAATAAATATACGCTAATGCACTCAATATTTTTAAAAGGATTTTTAGTTCATCAACAACCCTAAATTTTTAAATATTTACCAAAAGTCTTTGTGACAGTGTTTTCAATCCTTAATATGATGAAGAACATACCCAAATGATTACAAAAAATGATTAAAATATATACCTTTCCCCGCAAACTAATAAGAGATATTTTTTTGTCAATACTAGTCTTACTAGTAATACTGCAGTAATACTGCACTTACACAGGCTTTCATGATTAAATGAATGTTTTTGTGTTACTTTCAGATTTACAATATGAATATTTATCCAAAAATGGAACTTCTATTTAAAAAATTAATACTTAGCGAATTGTTATTATTATACACCAACTACTAAAAATCCAAATGAATAATTAAGAAAAAATTATGAAAATGAATACATTTCATTTCATGATAGACATTACAAACAATAAACACAATATTTAATAGATTTAGGATTTAGACGACATATCATCAAGATATTGTACTATTTAGTCAACTGAAGATTTCTTAGCAGCTTTGCATTCCTTCAAAAAAGTTGCATGTCATTCATTTATCACAGTTGTGTATTTTCATTAGCTGAGACAGTCTTGCATTCGTTCACAACTATGACGTCATAAGACGTAGGTTCTACGTTAAGTACATTTATTGACTTCAGGAATAATTGTTAAATTCTTCTCGATTTTCAGGTCAATTGGAATCTTTTTTTCCGGACAAGATATAATCAACATTGTTCTTATTGTTCTCTATTTTACATTCCATCAATTAGTACAGTTCAACAATTTTCTGAAGAATTTCGATTTCCAAAATAAAAAATACAAAATAAAGTAAGTAAAAATGACTCAGGATGTTTATATATACCTATTTTGTTATAAAATTACTAAAGCTTATCAAATTACTTTAATTATTTAATTTTTTTTAAAAAAAAATTTCAAACTCGATTAAATTTAACATTAAGGATAAAAATCTATATTTAACAGAGCAATCTATTTGCGCCAGCCATGTAATGAATCATAAATATACTATTGGAAACTACTGTGTACATGCATTTGGAAAAGAAAAGTATGAATAAATTGATACATATTCATTTTCCAGTTTTACTGGTTTATAATGCAGTGACAGTACATGTATTAGATGACAACTCGGAGGGAATTATAAAGCATCCATCGCAAAATAAATTGTTAGTCCCAGCACTGAGAGGAATTGGGAACTTCTATGAAAATCGAGTATGCAAGAAACAGAATATGTGAATGATACAGATAATTAAGATACAAATTAAGTTAATGAAAAATGACACCAATCACAATTAAAAGTACGAATCCAAAAAGTAAGCTCACAACACTTCATAATTAGGTCCTGTCACTCTGGTTTTAAGTTTTATAAAGACCATTCTTCCTAATATAAAGAACAACACAATCCCAACACCCAAAGCTATCCCTCCCCCAAACGAAGCACCATCAAATCCAGGCTTAGGGGTAGAAGCGGGCGGGGATCTAGTTGTTTTGGGGGTGGAGGTCTGGTTAGCCGGTAGGGTGGAGAAATCCTCGGTAGTCGTTTGTGACGTCATGATACTGGTTCTTGTAGTTCCGGTGGAGTTTGGTTCTACTGTACTGCTGTTTACTTTTTCAGTGCTGTCCGTGGGCGTGGTTACAGTGTCCGACGTCACTGGCGATGTAGGGGTGGATTCTGTATTTGGTAGGGTGGATTCTGAAGTAATTACTGCTGTTGAGTTGTTGCCTTCAGTTGTGATCTGTATAGTGGTATTTTCTGTATAAGGGTATACATAAACTACATGTAAGTATAATGATAGATCTAGAGTTTACGGATTGCCTTGAGATAGAAATATCTAAAAAGTTTCTTCTATATGATAAAATCTTACGTGCATCACAGAGTACAAAGATCAGAAAGAAAAATACATGTGCACTAAGCCTCCATGGAAGGGCCATGGTGAAGATCCTATACGACCGGTCAAATTTACTACGAATTAATTTATTCCCAGTTGTCCTGGTAAAACACAGTGAACTTAACCGTCAGATTGTAAAATCTGTGTTATTACCTTTATTTACATATCTAGTATGACTATGATGAGGGGCGATAAAGGTATCAGTATATACATAATTACTCAAATGATATTTATCACGATAAACTTTGAGCAAGTGGACAGCTTAGTTTGATGTAACGGGGGAGAATTTAAAACACTTCTCCAAAAGATGAAAAATAATAATAAAGATGTGTTTGTGAAACTGATGCCCCCGTACGACAAGCTCACGACCAAGGTTAAAGTTTTTCAAAAGTAGGTAAAACTCAGAAGTTAAGGTCAGGCCCGTAGAACGCGGGGGGGGGGGGGAGGGGGGCTACTTTTTTCTGAGTATAGTATTTTGCTATAGTAAATTTTCCTTTAGATGCTGGTTGCCCCCCCCCCCCCCCCCCCACACACACACTTTTTGATGTTGTGTAAGGTCGAGCACTGGCAAATTACAGGATTTGGACAGTAAATTAGCATATTTTTTTTGCTTATCAGATAATATTGGGAAGTTGCCCCCCCCCCCCCCACACACACACACTCTTTTGGTCAGTTTAGGTTTTTGTAAATTTTTGCTTGTAAAGATTTTGTTCGGAAGTACCCCCCCCCCCCCCCCGGGATTCCAACTTTTTCACAAACCAATTTTATTTATACATTACAATATTACCATGGGACGATTTTACCAGACCCATAGCAACGGTTTCGATAGGGGGGGGGGGGACTTCTCAAAAAATCTGACAAACAATAGTGTTCATTATATTCAGGCAGATCTTCGCACTTTTTTGCATTGGACAAACCCCGTAGTAAATTCTAATTTTATTTTATAATCTTTAACTATGGTTTTCTTTACCATAAACAAGGCATTATTAAGCCCGGGTGACATGAATCATAGTGATATTCAAATTCACCAATGGAAAACATGTTTAGCTTTTTGATCCGCTCCCAAGTTTAATCATGTGATAAATCGTCATCGGGTTCGAGGTTACAAAAAAATTAATTCTGGTTATATCCGGTTATGACGTAAGTGCTCAGAAAAATCTGTAAAACGAAAGCTATTACATTCGGAGAAAACACGCACAGCTGATTTTACCTCTGCATTGTACCTTGTATAGAGACAACGATGAATAGATTTATCCATTTTGGAATCGGTGTCGTGCTGTTGGTTTTGGTGTGTCTGACGTCTTGTAGGGGTAAGTCGCAATCATGTGACAGAACGACCCGATGACAGGTGACACGTGTGTCCTTCGTGCCCAGCCCCCCGTACCTCGTACCCCGGCCCCTGTCCTCCTTCCCCATCAGTCTATTGTATTTATAGTTTTGCTAAAGTTTTTTAATTAGACTGAATGACATCGTAGAAGTGTGAGTTTGCAATCAAGTTGAATCAACAGGTGCAGCGTGGGCTTTGTTTTGATGTAGTCCTTCAACAAGGAAGGAATTCATACATTAAAAAAATTGGTTTTTTGTATTATAATTTAAAGTTTATAAAGTACTAGTCTGCATTGTTAGTAAACTGAAATTGTGAATGGTGATCAACCGTATTAAACTTTGTTTTTTTAATCGGGTTTGGCACAATCTCTTGGTTAGCCATGTAGCTTGAATCGTAGGGTCTTGAGACAATCTTAGCAAAATCTGGTGTATCAGTGATTGGGAAGGCCATGAATGTCAAAGGGACTATGGCGCAACTGTCAAAATTTTTAATGAGCCATTTTGAAAATGAATGAGCCAGCTATCTAATAGACAGTCATATTACCGGTAACGAATATTTGCCAGTATTGAATAATTTTTTATTTAATTATTCTTGAAAAACAAAGTGATGGATTTGAAAAATTCTTACTAGGTATAAATACAATAAAAGGATGAATATTCTATCCCTGTGTTGTGTCTTTGTAGAATCTGCATGATTATTTTCCACATGATTTACAATTTGATACGATATGACCAAGTTTTGAACACACGCAAGTGCAAGTAATAGAAAACGAAAGTGTGTGAACAAATGCACCTAAATCAAACTTTTCAGTGTGTTGTTGATCCAGATTGAGTATGTTATCAATATTTAGGATAATTGTAACAAGTTAATTAAAAATATTAAAATAAACAATAATTTATTGACTTTTAAATGAAATTATAACATACAAACTAACCACATGTTGTTTTCCTATAGTTTTGAATCATGAATTTTCGAAGTTCGAAAAAAAGTTGTTTTATATGAACATGAAAAGCTTACAGAAGTGAAAATAGTACCAAAACAAATTACAAGCAAAGATAATCCATGAAAATTATGTCTCTGAGATGGTTGATTTAATTTTAATGAAGAATATCTTGAAAAGTTTGTCATAAAATGCAAAATTTTTCATACTGTTTTAGAAAAAAATCATTTAAATCAACAGGTAATAATGTTTATATACTTTTTGTAGAATTTTCTTGAAGGCATATTTCAACAATAATTTCGATCCACCGATTTTATTTATTGGGTCAGCAATAGTAGAGGGCGCTCGATTCTATACTGAAAAATCAATTCAAAACTAGGAAAATGGGGGGGGGGGGGTGGCAGGATGTTGTAATTGACATCTCTGTGCCTGTACAATTCATATTTTGGTACCACTTATTTGAAAAGCATATTAAACAACAACCAAGAACATTTTGAACTTCGACCGTGTAGGTTGCGTGCAGGACATAACAAACAGATTTAATTGTTACCGGTAAAATGACTGTATTCCAAAGAGCCATTTTTAGACATAACAAATTGACAAACAAATATGAAGTACAAAAGAAAACATGTTTTTTATTAACCAAATCTAATTTTTCGTGAACTGTATGCAGTGCAGCACATTTAAAGGAACCAGCACACATTTACCCATATTTTGGATCAATAACATCAAATTTTGGATTGTGCGGTGAGGCTTCATATAACAAGAAGCAGTTTTGATGGGTTTTAACCAAGTGAGATTTGTTGTATTAAAATGACTGTATTTAAAACTAAAGTAAAACAAGTTAGAAAGTTGTACGCAAAATATTTCTAAGTAACGTACATCGCTAAAAAATGGATGCACATCTTGGCGCCGCCAATGGTTGATTTAATGCGCAATTTTTACTTCAACGTGACTAGGGTGCATGGCGCAAGCCCTTCCAAATCACTGGTATATAGTATTATATATGTGGAAAAATTAAGGTAATGAACGAAAATTTGATGGAAGAAAATGGTGTAGGGTTAGGACTTTGACCTAATTCTCAAAAGTTCAAATTTTTTTTAAAGTTTTAACAAAGTAAGGTAAAGATTTATTTATGACAATAAAAGGCAACATTCTGCCTTTTGACTGGCAAAATTTTTTCATGGATTTTTTAATAAAATCGAAGTTTCGACAGTTTGAAGCGAGGCACTAAGGAATTAATAGCAGCTCGTTAGATCCCTTCTTCCCTACTATACTATATACCCATTTTTGCAAAGATTATCTCAAGACCCTATGGCTTGAATTAGCAATTTAGCCATCCTCACAATGTCAGGAGTCCTATGGCAACTCGTATATACAGTAAATTTGCATTGATAAACAGGTATATACACTGAATGCAATAAATTTTGGCAAGCAAGTTTTCCTGTAACCCTACAGTTTGTGACATTGATCCCAATGAAGTTTAGGATCTTCAAAGGGATCAACCTTCTGTAAACAGTGGGGATACAGAAAAACTTGTTAAACAAAAGTTTTTGCTTTTTTAGTATTTTGATACAGAATTTATAGATGAAAGAAAAATCCTCATTTTTGTACAAACAGGCTATTACATGTATATCCTGTTCTGGGCAATTTGTCCCAACCTGTTTAAGAGTAGACCTACTGTTAGTATAAATCTTACCTACCTTTATTGCAGCAGATGAGAAATAAGTTAGGTGATATGAAAAATAATAGAGTACTGTGATTGAGCACCAAATTAATTTTAACAAAATCTTTTTTTTATGTGTGTACCTTCTAGGGATGCGCAATTTTATCGGTATACCGGTATATCACGATTTTTTATTGCCTGATACGTATCGTGATACGAAGACTAAAATACCGGTATTTGGTACATATCTGTAAATTCCGTAAATTATTCATTTGTTTGTTCAATCTTTTGAATGACAATTACCGGAATTGTAAAAATGTTGAAAACAATTAAACAACTGCATCCAAACATTCTTTATATTAAATAAATAAAAATTTAAAACAAAAAGTTATGTTTTTATAGCAGTTTTTAAAGAAATATAATGGAAATTCATTTGATATTGTAGTAAAAATTGTGTGTAAAAATATCACGATTTATTGTGATATTTTTGGGAGAAAATCGTGATATATCACAATAGGAAATTTTTACTGATACCCATTCCTAGTACCTTCCAACAAAACAAAAATGATAATCATTCGATCAGTTTAAAAACATTGTGGGTCAGTCAGGTGGGTTCTTAATTTTGCTGGTGGCCAGATAGCTCAGTTGGTAGAGCGCCTGACTGGAGATTCAGTGGGCCCGGGTTCGAATCCCCGTCTGGTCTGTCACATTTTTCTCCTTGCTTGTTACAATTGTTTCAAGAAAAAAAAAAAATCAAAACTGAGAAATTCTTCCTGTTGGCATTTTATTCTCTGATCAAGGTTCATATGATGACTGTCCACTTTTTTATTTGGCTTGAAAGTACTAACAGACAATTTGAAATTAATTAAAAACAGATTGAATGTGAATGCAATCAGTACTAAGGAGTAAAAAAAAGTCTTTAAATAAAAAAAAAGGAGTATACACGCGTGAATTGGGTGTTGATCCAGTGTGAAATCTAAAGTTTTAGTACCCAGAGTTCAGTGTTTATAAGCGATATTTTAAAAGCAGCTATTTTCTTCTATTTTGGAAAGTAAATTAACAAGTCTTAAAAACAATCGGTAAAATATAGTTAATTTTGTGGGAATATGACTATATTTCCTATGTTTTTATGGGAAACTGCCTCTATTTGGCTGTGATTCTGGGTCCTGTAAAATAATGAAGATACATTCATGTCTTAAAAAATTAAGTTATTTTATAAATAGATAAAAGTGTAGATTCAGCAACACCACTCTTTTTATGACAATGAAAGCATATAGTATATGTCAATTCTGTTTATGATATGAAGATGAATAATTTTCTAGAACTTCCTTTTCTGTTTCCCTTCACTCAACCCTATATTTCCTGGAGGAACTTTATCTCTTTTTTTTTTTTTTTTTTTTTCCCAAAATAAAGATAAATAGACTATACCATGTATACAAGATGATTTCATTGAATTTTTTTAGCATGCAGTTGCTTGCATGTGTTCTATGATCTGACAAAAATACCTTGATTTTTTAAATTTATTTTAAAAAAAAAATTGTGAGGAATGAAAATGAAAGTGTATATATACATATTAAAAAAAAGAGATTTTCTGAAATATAGAGTTACATCTCTTTGATATATTCTAGATCCACCAATGGAAAAAAGACAGAAAATGTTGTAATTTAAACAAAATTTCTTTCCCCACGATACAGTTGAACTTCGGTATTTCGAACTTAGATATCTCGAATACCACCGATATGTCAATTGAAAGTGATTTAATAGTCCCAAGTATTTTTTCTTTAAGTATTTTACCCTCATTATCTCGAACCCTTGCATATCTAAACGTTTCTTCTTGGTCCCACTGAGTTCAAAATAATAAGGTTTGACTGTATTTGACTACAAACCATGTTCACAGTGCAAAATTCACAAGCAAAAAGGAGAGTGGAAGAGTTATCTGTCAATTTTTTCCCCACAAAATTGTAAAGAAGACAAAAATTATGATATTTAAAATCATCTTTTTATCGAAGTTGGGGGTCCAGGGCATTGAAAAAGGATGATGTGACATATGGCCCCCATTAAATTGACAAAAAATCAAATATCTAAATTTTACTCTAATTTTTGCATGCATTTAATCACTGATATGTATACCTTCATAAAATACTACTTTTACCGAAAATAGAAACATGATTTGGAAGATATGTCTTTCTTTTGAGTAGGGGTACCATGTTTACATCCAATTCCCATTGAATTTTATCCCCGCCCCACTCTTTGAAGCCCTTAAAATATACGAGCGCAAGTAGGTACATTTTTCTCCTTTGGCTGGTCACTGTCTTTTATTGAAATCTACCTATATGTGAAAGGAGAAAAATGTACCTAACTGCACTCACATGTTGTTTTTAAAAAAATTGTAAAATCTAGCTGGCCTTTCCCATTATGAACAGATCGACGAAACTATTTTTTTCTGACGTAAGAATAAATTCATATGCTAATCGATGCACTGGCGATACTTTCTAACTGACCAATCAGCTAAATGAGTTGCATAACTAGTGAGTACCACAAAAATACTAAGGACATTTTCTGCTTGGAAAAAAGATTGGGTTTTTTAACCTGCTTTCCGATAAACATTTTTTATGCATTTGAGTCACAGATTAGACACGGATCTACAATTTCCCAGTTCACATTTACAAACAATTGATTTATAAATATACATAGTTAAAAGTTTTGTAAAGCGTTCGGTGGGCAATTCGCTAGGTCTACACCGTATTCCCGAGAATCAGTGAATAGAAGTTTCATTCTTGGCCCTAAACGGTAAACACTGCGGTTCCATGCGTATTATTATGTATAAATAGCCTTGGCTGACCATTAAAAGTTTGAAATGTAGTAGAGATATTGTGTAAATTGACCTAAACCACGTGCCTGTGATAAAATGTAAACATATAGTAAACCAGCATGTTTTGTCGTTCTGTCATCGGATTGGACAACTGTTCTCGGTAAGCGACTATGTGCGAAATAATAACAATAGCCATATAAGGTAGATTCCTCAAACATGCATATCCCTCTATTGTACTAAGACCCGCCTATTCTCTTTTTATAAAAGAACCTATTGTCACAAACCAGGCCGAATTTTAATAAATTTTATAATATTTGTGATTATTGGCCGCAGCAGCAGCTGATATATTTGTGGTTATATTAGAATATGCACATGAGGAAATGAGACGTTATTTTTTCAATGCTTCGTTGGAATAATTTGTTACGGATAATATACATAAAAGTTCTGAATAAAAGTTTTAAAAATTTGCTTATTACTAAATCTAAATGCTTGTTATTGTGTTTCAATCTTTTTTTCATTTCTCGTCAGATATTTATTAATTTAATGATTTTACAAAAAGTCGTTTCATGCTCCCCAACATGGGCGTGCGTAAGATATAAAAACCAAAAGTATTGAGTTTCGGATATGAATATACAGTGCCTAACCCAGAAAATGATTAATAAATTGGAATAAGAACAAAATTTTGTTTTCAATACACTGCAAATTGCAAGTGACACAATGAATTTTTTGTTCTGCACTTCACATACAAATCCATCACAACACTGATCAGCATTATCAAGTGATGAAGATCCAGGGTATGAGCACGTGAAGTTTGTACGTCCTTTTTTGTCAGACATTCATGATAATTTTATATATTTGTTGCATTTGTCCTTGAATCAAATAATTTGATGATAATACATTCCTATCCTTTATCTCAAACCGATTTTCATATCCATGAATTTATTTCTTTGGATAAATATTTAACAATTGATCACTGAAAATTAATGTGTTAAAGTATGCACAGAAAAAAGTAAAGCAAGTGTAAAATTTTTCTTGGATTTTTTCTTTGGACTCTTTCTTGTGGAAATACTTCAAAATGATAAAATTTGATATATTTTTGCGGCCGATTTGATGCTTTGCATCAATATAACTTGTTATAATTGTGGTGAATGCCTTGAAAAGTGGCAACAAATGGGATGAATTCATTTAAAATAAAAATGCTAGGTTTCCTTGTGCAGGTATTTGTATTTTTTTCCTTGCATTATCAAATGCAAGATATAATTGATAGAGAAAATGCATTTTTCAATTTCGGGGACTATCACTTCTTGCTTCATCAGGTTTTTTTAAAAGGCAGCTAGATATTTAAAAATTTTAAATCGTGTTTAAATGAGTTCTTCTTTGCAATGGCAGAGTGTTTCTGGGTATACATGTAGCAACTGTTCAAGGTGGATTTTATGTCTAACTGTTTTATGTTTACAAATGAGTAGAAGACATAATGATAACAATGGAAACAAGTGGTATTGAAGTACAGGGTTATCTCTTATGGTCTATAAAATTTGCTAAGCCACATAGGATGATAAAAAATACACCTATTCCTTTTACCTTCCTAAAGTTAATAAGTTATTTTCTTTTGTCATGTTTTAAATGGGATGTCAAAATATTTATTTCCCTTAGTTGATTATTCGATTGCATTATTTGAATGATAGTCGAATATTCGGAACATTTTCTGAAAATAAAATTTATTTCAAAATTAATGCAACGTAACGCGTGGATAGCATGATATGAAATAAATTTAGGAACATTCGCCAAAATGTAGGATTTCCCTGTCAATGGAATTCATGTACATGCAGTCAGTTTTTATTTTAGTATGCATTAAAAATTGCCAGCCAACATTTTTAAAAGCTTATTATGAAATAAATTGGGGGAAGAGGGGGGGGGGGGGGGGGTTAATCTCACATGCACTATCCACAAGTCAGGTGCCTGTGAAATTGTTAAACAGTAATTAGATACTGCTTATTTCATTATTGATTTCTCTAGCTATCAAAATGTCCTTAAACAGTTTAAAATGTTTTAATAATTATCGAAGTGTCAAAACATGACACAGTTATCATGGTTTGTTCCTTGCATTTGAGCAATCTTAAAATAACAAAAGATAACTGGTACATGGTGTAAAATCAAGTCCAGTTAATAATGTTACAAACAAAGCCCAGTATATTGGTGGATAATTTATTACAAAAACAATACAGGCAGTTACTGACAAATAATTCTCAGCTTCTCGCAGTAGTGAAGCGCTTATAATTACTTTAATTACTTTCTGTATGTACATGGAAAATCAACTGTTTTTCGTTGAGGAAAATTATGTTATCGACTGTTTCTGAGGAAAGACAGTTTCTCGATTTTGTGATGAGAACTCCATCTCTTTATCACTCTTTTATTACATTTAATATTTAATTATAATAATATTCAAATGTCGTTTCATTATTTGATCGTCGGTCCATTCGACTGAGAGTTGAATAGTCGACTATTCGTTGACATCCCTAGTTTTAAAACATGTTTTTTTTTGTCTTAATTATACAGTCTGTACATATAAATATATTTATTGATGTATGTAATGAGTAAATGTAGCAGGATGCATGGAGTTGGAAAATTCAATCATTTTTTTTTTCAGTAAATACAATAAAGTATTATGAACAATAATCTGACAGATATGTATATACATATAACATATTTACACATATTTATTTTTAAAAAATGATTTACAAGTTAATATATGTACTAAGCAATGCTTTAAATGATTTCTTTTTAAGATTTGCATGATTATGACAAAACTATGTAATATATGAGATAATTAAGACTTGAATTATAAGTTATTGAATCATAACTGCAAAAGAAAAATGATGGCTTTAAGCAAAGCTGCCAAAATCATGAAACAAAAAATCGTAAGAATATGTCCAGGGGCCATTTTAACCCCTGGCCACTTGATATTTATCCATTTTGTTCATGTTATTAATAAAATGTTTGATATCATAAGTGAGCATAGAAACGGAAAATGACATTACAAGTATGCACTGTAATAGTGAAAACGAAAGGCACACAGATCATAAAAATACTGGTATTTCAAACTTTGCCGAAAAGAAACGGAAATAGTTTGGATAAATAGATAAATCATAAGGCGTACTTTAGATGCTCAAAACATAAGCCTTACGCCAAAATCAGAAGGGCTGGCAGATCTGCTTTTAATTAAGGACATACGCAACGTAGTTTGAACTTTATTGTCTTCTTCCCTGGAGTTGAAGAGTTCCACTACTTAAAGGAATTGTGTGCTACATTTCTAAGTCTATATATGCTGTTGTACACTTCTTCCAAAACAAGTTTAGATAAACAAAACATCTAGAATATATGTTTAGTAATTTTTGTGTATTTTTCTTTAAATAATACAAGAATTTTTGTCATTTGTTATCTTTTCAAACCCCCTGGTAATGCAAGCTGATTTTTTGTCGACGAACACCTGATGGCACTATTATCTTAAATTAAGAATATCTTGAAAAATTATCAGTAGGTAAGGTACGTTGGGTATGTCCTTAAGTTATTGCTCCCAGTTCACAAGAGAGTTAACAATATGCTAGTAAAGTAAGCATCAGCTATTGATATATGAATATGTTTTTATATGAGTGGTTATTTAATTATGCTTTAATATGAACTCAAGTGGTGAAAAAAAATTCATTTAAATTTCACAGGTGATGCTGCAGACCCAGTAACTACACAAAAGCCACCAGAAACAAGTGAGACTCCAGACATTCAAGGTGAGATTTACCATAAAGTCATGTATGTCCGTGAGCTCACATTGTCCTGGTTTGAGGAAGAAAAAAAAAACTTCGGTTTGTGGTTTTTTATACCCCCGTTCCAAAGGAGAGGAGGGTATACTGTTTTACCCTAGTGTGTCTGTGTGTGTGTGTGTCTGTCTGTCCATAACAAATTTTTTATCGCAGTTTTCTCAGCAACTACTCATCGCAGATGCTTGAAATTTTAGCACACCCTTTGTTTAGGCATGCCATATGTTGGGGTCCTTTTTTGTATGAATTTGATGTTATCTTCATGTTTATCTGTTCATCTGTCCGTACCATACATAACAAATTTTCGCTGCAGTTTTCTCAGCAACTATTCATTGCAGATGCGTGAAATTTTAGCACACTCTTTGTTGAGGCATGCAATATGATAGGATTCATTTTTGTAGGATGTCAACTTCCTCTTTATCCATGTGTCTGTCCGTAACTGAACTTGTGTATATTCACATCAGAGTCACATCAGAGCGGGGGTATTACTAGTGAGCGTTGGCTCACAGACTTCTTGTTAATTTCATGGTTGAAGGAAAAAAATGATAACTGTATATATGATGTAATTTAAATTTTAACTGTTTCACTGACATAAATTCATATGAAAATTGGTGAGATCACATTAGGGGATCAACGTTGAACATGGAAGTATATGTCGCAAATCTGAAAGTTTTTATGTCTATTTATTTTTGCAAATTTTTATTAAAAATGCAATATGTTTAATTTTACATTAACCTTTTAATTTTGAGAATTCACAACATTGCTAGAAATAAAACTAAACTGAATATCTTAAGTATGAGTTATTAATCGTACATATAGTACATATGTAAGCAGTGCTTGGGCACAATTTGCCTGTTAAACCAATGGCGATTTTTATAAAAAATCAGCTAGGGGGGTATAGAAACTCAAAAATAAGGAAACTCACTTTATTTTATTTTTTTTTTGCAATTAATTGTATGAATTACATGTTTTCTTTTGTTGCCTGTGTATGTTGCTTTATTCAGTCAGACCCTCTTATTTCAGTTATTGCGAATGAAAATTTCTATTCATTTCAGTGCACACAGAGTTCAGGTAGTCGGGATAAGACAATAACTGCCCAGGAATTTTTGGCTGCAGAAAATCGATAATTTATAAATTGAATGGGTGCTGTGGTCCGTTGTTTGGCAATTTTAAACTCACTCAGAAGTTTTGTTGTCTCCATATTAGTGTCAGGTCATAATTGAAAGATGAAGTCATGTAAAACAAACCTTTAGATAAACACTATTGACTAAGAATGGAAATACATGTATTCCACTTTATTTGAATTTAAGATAATTTCATTTATTTAGGTCAAAATTTCTTAAGTGATCATTAAAACAATATAATTTTAAATACGTTCTACATTCAAGCATAATTAAAATTAAAATTCATTACATTTAATTGAATTTATGTCTTGTTGATTTATTTTTGCAAATACTTTGCATGCATAAAATTGCTAAAAGTTATAATCAACAGTTAAAAAAAATTCCAAATTTTCAGTAGGAACAAATCTTAAAAACTTTTCTCAAGAACAGCAGAGCCATGATTGTACATGTAGTTTATAATGTGAAAACAATTTTACTGATAGGTATGAACAACTTAATACACAATAAATCATCTAACAAGGGCATCCTGCCTTCTGATTGGCTCAGGGTTGAGGTTTGTTACTCTAGCAAGGGCACCCAGCCTTCTGATTGGTGGTAACATTCATTCATTCTGCCTTCTGATTGGCCAGGACATTCTGCCTTCTGATTGACTAGGTGTTGAGGTTTGTGACTCTGAGGAGCATTAAATATGTATCCTACTCTTGTTTCAGTTGGTGGGTGTAATGCCTCAGTTACTTACGACACCTGCTGTAATAATACTGGTTGTTCCTGGATTGAATGTTTAAATGCATCAGGAAGCGTTATTCATACAGGTATGTACAGGTAAAGTCCGTCTTACTGGAGAATTTTTTTTTTCTGTTACATAGTACAATACCTCAGTGTTACTTTTGTCTTGATACATGCCAGGAAAGGATCACAATAAATATACAAATCGATAAACAGAAAAAAAATGATAAACATGAAACCTCGTAAATGCAGTTTTCAATATTTAAATAAGTACATGTTTCATTTTTCATCCATAGGGATTTCTTTTTGATAATTTAAAAGTTATTTCTCTTATGAACTGCCACTAGTAAGCAGGAATACAACTTTTCTGTCAGTGTTACACAATTATGATGTACATGCAGGGCTCTACATTAGCATTTTTTCACTTTTATTTACTTGTCCAAACATAATTTTTACTTTGGCCCCCAAAAATTAATTAATAGTTTCTCAGGCCAAAGAATTCAAAATTCAATGATTGATTTTTTTTTTTTTAAATTAAAGTGACACTCTGATGGACAAATGGGAAAATTGACAACAGAAGAATTTTTGCATGACACATGCAAATTTTGTTCAGTTCTTGAAGATATTAGGTTTCAGAAAATTACAGGTTTCAGAACCTAAAAAATCTAATTTAATGGAGAAAAATAAAAGTAAAAAAAATCTTTGTATAACCCATCACAAAAATATTGCTTCACTTCTTCCACTTTATTGTACGCATGCGCTGAATAGTTGAAGAATTTACCATGGTTTCAATTCCATAGATATAAATGTTGGATGACTGAGAATTTCGATACAATCTTCAAAAAAGATGATCATAACTTATTCCTTACTTCTGCTTGCCCCAATTCAATGTTGTTTACAAGTTTCACGCTAAAAATAAAGGACGTGTGACCTTGACATTGTTGACATTGACGATAAAAACAAAGCGATAGATACAACATTTGTTTTTCCGGCACTTATATTATGCAGTTTTTTTCTTGCTTTACAGTGCAGTTGAGTTGTCAAAACTTCGCTATATTCATATTTCACAGAAATATTTTGTTTTGTGATACAATTTTCTTAAAAGAAACACATGGTTTTGACTCATTATGCAACTTGAAATAATACCTTTTTTCATATCAGTCATTCAACAAAATGATGATCTCAACTGATTCTTACTTTTTGTTCTATTACATTAATTAGGGCCCCGCAAGGATTTGCGGGTGCCCTATAGTAATCACTCTGTCTGTCTGTCCGTCTGTCTGTCCATCTGTCCGTCTGTCATTCTTCCATCCACAAATTTTCTGTTTTTTTCTAATAACTTTTTTTGTAGTTGACCAATTAAGTTCAAATTTGGTATGTTGGTTGAAGAGGCAGAAAGACATATTTTGATGCTAAGTTTGGTTCTCTATGTCATCCAGTTTGGAGCGGGGGTGGTGGGGTAGATTCCTTATCTTTACATTAGAATGAATGCCAGAGCAAAGAGAGATAACTGCTGAGAATGTTCCTATTGTAAACTATGAAAGATGCAACTAGTCCTTTGGGATTAATTAACTTTCCTCTTGAAGAAAATCCAAAGCATTATCTGTTTCTGTCAAATTGAGATTAATGAACACCTCTGTCTGCAAATGAAGTTTGCTTTGAAGTTAAAGGTGCTTAGACACAGATTTGAAGTTAATATTTTATCAAATTTTCTGTATAATATAACGACTTATATATTGCAATAGCATTTCACACGAAAATATAATTAAAAACTTATTTTATCTGGAAATTATTGGAACTACGAATTCCTGGACGCGTTTGATTAACACATCCTTGCACTTTCACAAATTTTATTTTTATCCTTAATATTTAAGAAAAGAAGCGATTTTGTTTTGTATTAATGAAACACATTACATCTATAATCCAGAAAATTCAGAGTAGAAATGTGCGAAAGCAAACCCCCTCACTAATTTCGTCAGCCCGTGCTCAGTGTTGTGTACAGAGTTTAACAAATTGAATACACCCGTGAAACGTAAACTGTTTCTGTAAACAGGGCACGAGCTCTGTTATTGTTAATGTTTACGATTCACTGGGTGAGTTCAATTGTTAAAGTCTGCACACACCACTGAGCACGGACTGACAATACTGTGAGTGGGTTTTGCTTTCGAACATTTCTACTCTGAATTTTCTGGATTATAGTTTTAATACTTTTCATTTATACACAACAAAACTGCCACTTTTCTTAAGTATTAAGAATAAAATTAAAAATTGTGAAAGTTCAAGGATGTGTCAATCAAACGCGTCCAGAAATTTGAAGTTTCAATAACTTCGAGATGAAATAAGATTTTTATTATATTTTAGTATGAAATGATAAAGCAACATATATGTCATGAAATTATACAGAAAATCTGAGAAAATATTAACTTCAAATCTGTGTCCAAGCACCTTTAAGGTCAATTCTGAATGATGTTTACATTCTCTGAAATGTAGATTTAAATAATATTCATACTTTATTTTGGTAAAATACACAATGAGTTATGATTTTATTGAATTCTAAAAACAAGATATACATAAAGATATGTTGTTTTTTTTTATTTATTTATTTATTTATTCATTTTTTTTTTAAGGCTGCTGTATGTAAATTCAAGAATACTATTAATTTTATCATGTAGTCTGATAATAAACTCATTCTATCATTACTGAAAAAGTTCTTATTGTAAACTTGGAAGAAAAGGATGAGAGAGCAGTACAATTAATCCCCTGGGATTAATTATCTTGTCTGGGGCAGAAAATTGTCCAGGCTTATCTTTATTTGTCACTTTAAGATAAATTAACCTTTGTCTGATGTTTGTTTTGAAGTTGAGGTCAAGCCTGGGTGATATTTGCATTCACTGAAGGCTGGCATTTTAAAAAACACATGCTTTATTCTTGTTTAAATATACATTTAATTGAGTTATTATAGATATGATGTTTTTTACTGCCTTAATATGTAAATACAGGGATACTCTTTACAGGTTGTTGGATATTTAGGAATTATCTTGAAATTTTATAAATACAGTTGTTATAGCATATTCTTCTTCATATATTTTTAAATTTTTGTAATCAATCAAAATTCTCATTCTGTAAGCTGCACCCTTATATTTCTACCCCTTGGCGGGGCCCTTGCTGACTGGTCAGTTTTCTAGTTGTAATATGTTTTCAACTTTAAATAATGTTATTCCAAACAATTGTTTAAAAGTTAATTTAAAAAATAACCACATTAACAAGAATTGCATTGTTTATCTAGTAAAAACGTCTATGAAAAGGGAATAACTTGATTTCTTTTTCAACATGGAAAAATAGAAAATTGAGGTATTTCCCTTTTCAATATGTAAATAAAATTGATCAATGCGGCAGGTTTTTGACCTGATGCGGCAGTGCCTGAGAAACTGTTGATTAATTTTTTTGGCCTTATCCAACAATTTTTTTTATTACTAAGAACTATTTAACAACTTGGAAAAAATATTGTAAATTTAAATAGAGTCCATGATATATTCACTGCGTCTGTTTTATGATTTTTGACACATATAGCAAATAATGAAACTAATAAATTATATTATCCTGTCCTAAAGAAGTAATTACAATATTTCATAAAGCTCTTACTGATGAAATACAGTAATGGTAAAAAGGTTATTTTAGCAACTGGCAAAGTCAGGAATTTTTTTAACTAAAAGAAGCATTTATTATAAGACTGTTTAATAACTTGTTTTTAGCGATTTTAGAGATGACTCTGTGATTGAATTATTGGCGACATTTATTTTTTATTTTATATTTATTTTTGGGAGTTGATTTTATCAAATTACATCTTCTATGCAGTCTCTCAGATCAAACTGTGTCTCGACCTAAGCACAACTTTACGCGGTAATCATCAATGGAAGATATCAGTCGCAGCTGACAGGAAATAATCCCTAAAGACAATCGAGAAGATTGATATATTACACACTGAAAAGCGTAATTTTTCTTGATTTTTCTGTTTACAATTGGCAATTCATTGAAACTCAATGAAATCAATTGAAATGCTATTCATTCATCATTTATAGTACTTTAAGTTGTAAAACAACTGGTTTTCCCATGCTGTGGCCACGAGTGCAGTGAAAACCTGGAGTCAAAGGCACAAAACCAGTACCAACAGAAGTTATTAATTCATAAAATATGTTGGTCACAATTATCAGAAAAAAAGATTCTCTATACGTAACTGAATAGCTACATATCTCTAAAAATCTGTTAATACGTATGTATATCATATCACACATGCATTGTATACTCTTTAACAATGTAGCCACAAGTTTATTACAGCGGGTAATGTGACCTAATTTTGAACTGGGTCCCATTTTACAAATTAAAGAACTTACGACTAAGACCAAAAACTTAAGTTGATTGTAAAATCTTCCAAAATTAATTATTCAGTTAAAAATTACTCGCTTAAAAATATCTTTCAAAATTCTTTTTAAAAATATGAAAACCATTTTAAAATTAATGTAAAATAGAGAGTTATTCGCAAAATTACAATTTGGTCGTAGTCGTAAGATCTTTCGTAAAACAGGGCCCTGATCTTCCCACTGCAAGAGCATTGCCACCTAATTAGTAGTAAGTTACTGGTAAATAGATTTAAACAGACTTGACTTCTTATTTAACATATGAATGAGAGACATATAATTTGTGTCAAAATAGTCTCAGAATTAAAACTAAAATTTACATTTAGTCATTTACATGTAACTAGGTAAAATGCCTATGATGCAGTCAAAGTACTCAAAGCACTGATAGCAGGAATTTAAGAATACATGATCCTTCCAGGGAATGCTGCTACACTGCCTGTCTGCATTGTAACACAGCTAATGCATATGAATCTGCACCTTGTCCTATAGGTGTTTTATATTACAAATTTAGAATAAATACATATAATCAATATCTTTAACTAAAAACAATAAATCAGATATATATAAAAGAGAATGTGCTGGGGAATTATTCCTTCTAATATATTGAGTCAAGCAATTAAAATTTGATTTATACTGAGCCTCTCACAGGACGAAAGACCACCTTTAAGCAA